TTCACTTTTGCTCTTTTAGCAACTACACATAACAATACTCCTTTTATCATCAATTGAGGTAATAAAATATTTATTCTCCCTCGTCTGTGCCATTATTACGAATTTTAAGAACTTGACTACTAAAATTTCCTTAGTGTCAACATCTTTCGTTTCATATTTATGCTCCAATGTCATCCATAATTCTTTTATTTTGGATATTATACACTTTATATTGTGTATCTGATAATACATTCAGGATGTATTTTTAGTATGGAAGTCTTTTACTTCTAAATTTTAAAATCAATAAATATGGTAACAAAGTTTACCACATCCTCTCTAATAATAAGAGGATCATCCGATATTTGGCCAAATTTACCAAATAAAATAGCATCTTATGTTATCACATTTTGAAATTTTATCCATAGAATTTTACAAGTTTCTCATTGTGGCTCATGACCATCAACAATCGTGATTTCCTTTAACACATGAAATTAGAATTAATCATAGTTCCAACAATAAACCGAAAATAAATTATGTTTATTCTACCAACAAAATTTAGTTAGAAACTAAATGAGTAACAAACTTGTTACTTTCAAATGATTTCTATTATAAATAGTAATCAAATAATTCTATTAGACGACAGAATAAAAATATCAATTAATTTCAAATATGAAATCAAAGATTCTAATCAACAAAATTATTCTTGTTTATTTTTGATTTTGTTATCGGACAAAATCAACGTTCTGAAACAAAATCAGTAACCAAAGATAATTTCACGACAATTTTTGTTAAACAAATTTGTCCACTCTGAAATTTTTGCAAACCCGTTAAAATGACAAGATAAATCCTGAAACATATTTATTTTCTATCTCATTTTCACCACGATATCTGAACCATTTCAGATTAAAGAAATGTAGAAGAAAGAGTTTGAATCATCTCTTATTAAAGGTAAATATTAAAATTCCACCTACATGATTGACTTCATCATTATCAATCAAAACATTGAACTATCAAAATTCAATGTGTGCCCCCACAAATTGTGCAACCACAAAGATCTTGAAAATATTTTAAAATCCAGTTATTTGAATTCCTACGCATAAATTGGTGGAACCATGTTCCACATAAAAAAATTAAACGCAAAATCTTTACAAAATATTTTAGAGTTCATAATCTAGAATTGAAGGAAATTTATCGTTTGCGTAATTTCCCCTTGATTATCGCCCAACATTTGTTTTTCTGAATTTTTTTGCGCTTCCTTTGTACACAACAAGGATTAAACTCAAAAGAATCTAAATCATCTCGGAAAAATAATATTAAACATGTCTTAAGATTGTTGGACAAAATCGTTAAATCCGAGAATAATATAGAAAAATAATAATGATAATAATAATAATAATAATAATAATCAAATATCATTATAAAATTAATGATAAAGAATGAGTTTACTTGTCTTAGGATTGTAAGAATTATAACAATCCGATACCATATTCACACCTGAGAAGATAAAACAAACAAGATTAAACTTCTTATGAAAATAAAATAAAATAAATAGAAATAAAAGTACTCTTTTCTTGATTGATCTTTTGATCGGAAACAATTGAGGCATGTATCTACACAGTTTTCTTAAGACAAATTTTTGGCCAGTCCTTTGGTGCTCGAGATCGTTGGTCGCTTGTCTCCCAAAATACAACAACTAGATGACCCGCTACAGTAGAACAACAGTAGAGATCACGGTCTATCATTGCCTTCGACTATCACAGGAAAACTAAGGAGAGAAAATATTTTTCAAGAAAATTAAAGTTCTTGAATTTTGAGATGTGAAACTTGTTTTGAAAAATTGTGATTAACCTGGCAGGTTAACTCAGTATTTATAAGGGATTTTAAAGAGAGATTTACTCCAACTAAATATCTTATAATATTCAAATTTAAACATATAATAATATCTATTAATTTGAAATATTCAAAAGATAAAGTCACCTTTTACTATTCAAATTTAAATATTCAAACTTAAATGGATATTATTTTAATTTGAAATATTCAAAAAGATATAATTATCTTTAATATTCAAAGTTAAATAGGTAACAAATACCTTTTAATTTGATATATTCAATGAATAATTATCCTACTAATATTCAAATTAAAAATATATTTTAATTTGTAATATTCAAAAGGAATATGAATTTAATTTAAATATTAAATCTATAAATGAAATTCACTCTTTTTTCCAACCGTTCACTTTTATGGATGTTTCCATTATTTTGAAAGTATCCAGCCAAGAATCGATTTCTTTTCAATTAAGACTTTATTTATTTTGATTTTCTTTTATTCTAGCTTTCCTTATTTGATTTAGCCTCATTTAAAGGAGATTTACTTTTCTATTAGGTTTTTGGCTCTCTATATAAAGAGCCTCTTAGCCACCTTTTAGGATATCTTCTACACCACAACTAGGGATGGCAAACGGGTACAGTTTCGTGGATTCCGCACCGCATCCGCTCCAATTGGAGCGAGGATGGGTATAATTTTAGCGGGTAGTGGGCGGGTGTGGATTTATAAAGTAGTACCCGTCGTGGATGGTGGGCGGGTAATGGGTTTGAGACATTACCCGCCCCGCATCCGCCCGCCCCGCATCCGCCCACCCAGCTAAATATCTATTAAATTTTGGACCATTATGAATTTAGGTGTAATTTTAGAGACTAATTTATAAATTTTAATATTGTATAATATATAACATATAATTTATCCAAATATTAAGGATATTTAGTCTTTAATCTGGTCTTTAATTAGGGAAATATTCGGCTCTTTGATTAAACCCATAATCCCACTAACCACGTCACTTTCCATGTTCTTTAGCCCATGCTGCACATCCAAACACAAATTAGCCGTACTATAAGCATTAACATCAAAAGCAACAGTTTCCATGTTCTTTAGCCCCTCAAAACCCATATTAGGCGCACTATAAGCATTAACATCGAAAGCAACGCAACAATCCAGCTCTGCGACTACATGCTCCCTACAATATGTCTCCATAACATTCGTAGAGCTACTCCTCTAACAAATTGAAGCATGCGCTGCTACCCCATCACGAACTGTCTGGGAACCAACTCCAACATCCCATTAGTTTGCTGTCAGGCGGGTCTAGATGGGTATGTAGCTAGTGGGTAGTGGGTGTGAGGATGGATTTGAAAATATACCCGCGTGGGCGGGTGTGGATTTGAAAATTTGTACCCATCATGGGTGGCAGGCGGGTGGTGGATTGAAAATATTAGGTGGGTATGGGGATGGGGGAGGAGGTATCCGCACCCGACCCGCCCGTTTGCCATCCCTAACCACAACTTCTTTTCTCTTTTATTTTCATTCCACCATGAGTGGCTAAGCTTTTATTTATGATTCAAGGGCAAAAAAAATTTCGTTATAATTTTCGAGGCTTGTGCTAAACTAGTATTTCTCCTTTAATCCAAGTAATATTTATTTCTTGTTCTTATTTTGATGAATTCTTGATATTGATTAAATCGACGCCTTAATTCAATATTGAGTTTTCTATCGTTATTCATACGGGATGAAGTTCACTTTTATGGATATTTCTATTATTCTGAAAGTATCTGGACAAGAATCAATCTCTATTTAATTAAGACTTTGTTTATTTTGATTTTCTTTTATTTTAACTTTCTTTATATGATTTAGACTCGTTTAAAGGAGATTTATTTTCTAATGGGGTTTTGGCTCTCCATATAAAGGGCCTCTTAGCCACCTTTTAGGATATATTCTACATCGCATTTTCTTTTCTCTTTTATTTTCATTCCACCATGAGTGCTTAAACTTTTATATTCGATTCAAGGGCGAAAAAGATTTTGTTTTAATTTTGTGAAGCTTGTGCTAAACTAGTTTTTCTCCTTTAATCCAAGTAATCTTTATTTCTTGTTTTTATTTTGATGAATTATTGATATTGATTAAATTGACGTCTTAATTCGATATTGTGTTTTCTATCATTATTCATATGTTTGTGATCCATAATAGTCATGAACGATTGGCACAAGTAGTAAGGGATAAGTCTCATGATTTGTGTTTGTTATGGTTTATTTTCCGAAATTTACATTGCGTGTGATAGTCTTCGGGGAAATAAAGTTAAGAAATTAATTGATTTTGTTTTAGTCGTTCCCGCGATTCTTAATGTTATCATTAATGGTAAGATTTGATTTGAATGCTTGTTGCAATTAAGTGGGTTTATCAATTATAAAAGGGGAACCATACTTGTTATGGTTCAGTGCAAGCGACTAATTACTTGGATGTTGAAAATCGAACTTTTTAGTCTATGATAAAAGATTACAGTCAGATGAAGTACACACCTTTGAATTGGAAGTTCGATAAGAATTGATTTCGTTATTCATATTTTTAGTTTTATTTCTTAATTTTAGTTCAGTAAAGCAACCCCCCATTTTACTTTTATTTCCTTAATATCGCCCCATTTTACTTTTATTTCCTTAATATCGAGATTCTAATTTCAGCACTCTTGGGATTTGACATGATCTCACTATTACTACAAGTTAGTTCGACAATCCTGTTAAAATTGGTGTCTTTTTCGGGGAGCTATTTTAGTTTCTCATTGTTTAATTGCTTTTATTGTTAATCAATTATCTACTTTTGAAGAAGTTGAAGAAGGAATGGCGAATAGGACTCTCAAGGAGTTGGCTGCACCGAATTTAAATCAACAACCTTTATGCATTATTTTTCCTAATTTTAAAGTTGATTTTGAGTTAAGATCTGGTTTAATTAACTTACTTTCGTCTTTTCATGGACTTGTAGGTGAAGATCCTCACAAACATTTGAAAGAATTCCATATTGTATGCTCTGGAATGAAACAACATGGAGTCGTCGATGAACAAATTAATTTAAAAGCTTTTCCTTTTTCATTAAAGGATCAAGAAAAAGATTGGCTTTATTATCTACCATATGGATCAATTACGACATGAAATAGGATGAAGAGACTATTTTTGGAGAAGTTCTCTCCCGCGTCTAAGGCTGCCAACATCAGAAAAGAAATCTATGGCATTATTTAACTCACTGGTGAGACTTTGTACGAATATTGGGAGAGATTCAAGCAATTATGCATTAGTTTTCCTCAATATCAAATCCCGGACCAACTTTTAATCCAATACTTCTATGAGGGATTGTTGCCAATGGATATAAGCATGATTGATGCAACAAGTGGTAGAGCTTTAGTGAACAAAGATGAACAAATCTGTCAACCAAGTCAGTGAGGTAAGAATTGTTTCTCTTGAAAATAAAATTTATGATTTGACTACTTTGGTTCGTTAAATTGTTCTAGGGTAGGTGCAAGAAGAAAAATGCTTTAGGTGAATTCCATAATCCAACCTAAAGAAAGAATGATCCTTTTTCTAACCATTACAATCCAGAATGGAGGGATCATCCGAATCTAAGTTATGAGAGTCAAAGAGGACAAGAAAGATATACCACTCAAAATTTGGATAGACAAATTTATGCACCAACCCAACATCAATCTTCAAATTCATGTATGTATTTAGAGGATATTGTTAAAAGTCTAACTCTACTCATGTATTTCAACAAGAAATAAGAGAAACAATTCATGCACTTCAACAGTAAATGAAGGAAACAAGAGAATCGACTCATGCACTTTAACAAGAAATGAGGATGAGTGTTCAAAGTTTGGGCAATCATATTACTCAATTGGCCACTTTGGTTAGTAAATTGGAAGGTCAAAATTGTAGTAAGTTACCCTCACAAACGGTAGTGAATCCAATAGAGAATTGTAGTACAATTTCCTTGATGAGCGAAAAAGAATTTTTTTCGGGATTAATTCCACCTAAAAGAGCCAAGATGGGCGAAGATGGGGGAGTCAAACTTCATTCCCAAGTGTCTTCAAAGGTAACATTCGACCATCCGTTATATTTTTCATCTCATACTCGTTTACCACCGCTTCCTAGCAGGTTAGCTAAACCAAAGGAAGATGAGGACAAATATATCTTGGATGTATTTAGGAAGGTTGGGATTAATATTCCATTGGTGGATGCTATCAAGTAAATTCCTAATTATGCAAGATTTTTGAAGGAATTGTGCACCAATAAACAGAAATTGAAAGAAAAAGAGAAGGTTCAAGTAAGAAGAATGTGTCGGCAATCTTGTAAAAGAATATGCCAAAAATTACGGGGATCCATGTATATTTTCTTTATCTTGTGTTATTGGTAATAAAAAGATTGAGCATGCTATGTTAGACTTAGGAGCTTCAATAAATGCCATGTCATTTTCCATTTACCAAGACATGAAATTAAATGGCCTGCAAAAGATTGATGTGGTGATACAATTAGCTAATCTTTCTTATATTCACTCACTTAGAGTTGTTGAGGATGTTTTGGTACATATTAATGAGCTGATTTTTCCTGTAGATTTTTACATCTTAGGAATGGAAGGTAATTTCTCTTCACGTTCACCTTCAATATGGTTTGTAAGACCATTCATGAAGACATAAAAGACAAATATCGATGTAGATGAGGGCACTCTGTCTTTGGAGTTTGGAGGAAAAATTGCGAAGTTCAAAATTCTTGATGCAATAAAATATCCTAATGATATGCATCCTCTTTTTCAAGTTGATATGGTTGATTCAATTGTTCAGGGTATATTTTCTAAAAAAGAAATTGAATGCGAGTTGTGATTATGTGCACAAGCTGACATAATCGAAGAAATATTTTCAGCATCATCTCTTGAATAGGTAAATTCATATGCTAACAAAATATTTTCTTTTACTGCGTATACCAAAAATTGGAATTATAAGACTTACCCGACCACCTAAAATATGTGTATTTGGGTGAAGAGGAGACACTGCCGGTCATAATCGAAAAAGGGCTAACAACTGAACAGGAAGAGATTTTGGTTCAAATCTTGAAGGAGCATAAAGCATTATCAGATGGTTCAATGATGTGACATGGACCTCGACAAAGCTGAATTTCAAGGATACTACAATTGAAAGAATTAGAGGAGCTTAGTTTAATTGTTTGTGAAAACTTAAGGATCTACAAGTAAAAATCGAATTTGTTTCATGATACCATGCTTATTTAGAAACATTTTGAGATTGGTCAAAAGGTGTTATTGTACGACACCCAATTAAAGTTTATGGCAAGTAAGTTTCATTTTTGTTGGCTTGGACCATTTATAGTTACTAATGTATTTCATCATGTCGTAGTGGAAATTACAAGCTCGAACTCAGACAAAACCTTCAAGGTGAATGGCCAAAAATTGAAAATATTCCACAAAGGTGAAATTGGCCCATACCCCAATGACCCTCATTTACAGCTACCTACTTATATAAGTGAATGAACAACTCGCCGTAGCTATGTCGAGCATAACGACGTTAAACAATTGAACTATTAGGAGGCAACCCAATTTTTATCGCTTTATTTTATCTTTCTATTGATTTATTCTATTTTATATTTACTTTTTCCTTTGATTTTTTGGCAGATTCCTATTTCGAACAAGATGTGACAACGCCTTATTGAATTTTGTCTACTGAGTTTGAATCTCATAAATTTCATTTTTTTTGGATAGATTATTGATTGGAATAAGGTGTGACCACGTTCTACTGATAGCGCACTGTTTTGTCCCAATTTTAATTGTTTACATTGCGAAATCTCACTTCCTTGTCCATCATCACCTTGAACCATTACAGTCTGACTTGCTCATATATCAGGGGAGTTCCATTTTCTCTTTAATTTCTTTTGTAAGCAATTTACTTGGATATACATTGAGAACAATCTAAGATTTAGGTGTGAGGGAAATATATTTCATACATGATTTCATTTTGTTTTGAATACTATTTTTCTTTTGCTTGAATTTTAGTGTGCTTCAATCCATGTATGTTGACTTTTTTTTTGAATTCTTGAATCTTTGCTTAATATCTTGGAATACCTTGTAAGTTCTGGACACATCTTGGTTTGGATTATATTATAATACATGAAAGAGACAAACATGATTAATGTTTTCTTAAAAATGTTTGATGACGTCTCATGAGCTCCTTAGTTGAAAAGTGCACTAGACTTGATGCAAATTACACACTTTGGTGAGATTTTGAGCCTAAGAGCAATTCATTATATTTTGTTAATTTTTATTTTTGATTAGTATGTCGAACTTTGCATGTTTATTCTAGAAATTGCTTGTGAATACATTTTGAGACTACACTTTTTGATTGATGCTTTAAGATGATAAGGGCAATTAGGTTTAACCCACTTCTCAAACCTTCAAAAAGTCTACCCATATGGTTTCCCCTTAGTTAGCCAACTTGAGTTTATTCTTCATTTTTTTTACCATAATTTAACCCAAAGCCTTTTCTTGTTTGTTATCCCTTCTTTTTGTTACCCTTTTCAGGACAAGAAAAATGTTGTTCCACACCAAAAAATGATGAAAAAATGAAAAAAAAAAAAAGAATTGAAGTTTGTTTCTTGAAGGAATGAAGATATACATAGATATGTTTGCAAAACAATTAAATGTGAATTCTCCAAACTCTTTAGTGCTTGAGTGAAATGTGAGAATAAATTTCAAGAAGTTGGTAGTATGTTTGATGTTTTTATGTTGAATTGATGTCATGCAAATTAATATCTCGTCTTGATTGTGAAACCTTCATTTTTTCCTTTTACCATACCCTTACCTAAGCCTTGTTAGAACCCTTGAAAAGACCCTTTGATTTTTGCATCATATTCATATGCAATGGTGGAGATTTAATTCATTTGCAAGCTTATGGTAATATTGTGCTATGTTTTGACCTTGAGAGTTAAATGCACCCTAAACACTTTGAGAGTATTGAGTGAAACCATATGAGGGCGTTAAGTCTTATTGCACTTAATATTAGTGGATTAATGAGATGTGATGATCTCGTTACAAGTTTATCCTATTCATGTCCATTCTCTTAACTGTCATTATGGTTTGAATATTTAAAGTGTCTTAACTTTATTGGTATTATGGGATATTAAATGAGATGAAAAGAAGGTAGATGGACGAGTTGGTATATTAAATTGAGGTATACATGAGGACAAACATGATTTAAGTGTGGGGGAATTTGATAAGTTATAATTATATATATATATATATATATATTCATGATTAATTCCTTCGTAATCTTGTTAGAAGTTGAGCCTAATTGTGAAAATTATGTTTGTTTTAATTTAGGAGGTGAAATATGGATGCAATGGTGAAAATCAGCTTAAAAGCATGTTTTTAGCCTTCTATGTGAGAATCAAGTCTTTTGGAAGAATGTGGAATTGGACAGAAGACCATATTCAACAAGGCGTGACCACGCCTTGTGACTGACATGCAACTACTTTCTGATAAGAAAATTATGAACTTTTGGAGTCAAATTCGGGGTTAAGCTCACTTTTATTGATATTTCAATTTGGCCAAGAATCAATCTCTTTTTAATTAGGGCTTTATTTATTTTGATTTTCTTTATTCTAGCTTTTCTTATTTGATCTAGACTCATTTAAAGGAGATTTATTTTTGATTTAGGGTTTTTGCTCTCTATATAAAGAGTCTCTTAGCCACCTTTTAGGATATCTTCTACAACACAACTTTTCTCTTTTATTTTCATTACACCATGAGTGGCTAAGCTTTTATTTTCGATTCAAGGACGAAACGATATCGTTGTAATTTTGTGAGGCTTGTGCTAAACTGGGTTTTCTCTTTTAATCCAAGTAATCTTTATTTTTTGTTCTTATTTTTATGAACTCTAAATATTGATTATTGATACCTTATTTCGATATTGAGTTTTCTATTACTATTCATATGTTTGTGATCTGTGATAGTCATGAACAACTGACACAAGTAGCAAGGGGTAAGTCTCATGATTTGTGTTTGTTACGGCTTATTTTCCGAACTTCGTATCGTGCATGATAGTCTCCGGGGAAATAAATGTACGAAATTAATTGATTTTATTTTAGCCGTTCTCACGATTCTTAATGCTATCATTAATGGTAAGATTTGATTTGAATGCTCATTGCAAATGAGTAGGCTTATTGATTATAATAAGTGAACCATACTTGTTACGGTTCCGAGCAAGTGACTAATTATTTGGATGTTGAAATTTGATCTTTTAAGCCTATAATCAAAATTATTGGCGGATGAAGTGCATACCTTTGAATTGGAAGTTCAGTAAGAATTAATTTTCATTATATATATTTTTAGTTTTATTTCTTGATTTTAGTTCAATAAACCAAAACCCCCCATTTTACTTTTATTGCTTTAACATTGAGATTCTAATTTTAGCTATCTTAGGATTCGACATGATCTCACTATTACCACAAGTTAGTTTAGTAAAAATCAGTTTTATTTTGCAGGACTCGACAACCCTGTTGATAACTGATGAGAGAATGTACATTTTGAATCTGATTGTTCTCTTTTGGTGAACAAGTTGCTTCGTGATGATGAAGATTTATCTACCTTGGCTTGTCATCTTCGACTAACGAAGGAACATTTCCAGGCTTGTCCTAGATTTCACGTTTCTCTTATTCAACGATCTTGCAAGTTTGTAGCAGATACTTTGGCCAAATGAGTTTGTATATCCTTGTCTTCGCTATTTTTTGACTCAGTTTGTCTCGAGATTATCTCTTCGGAGGTGGCAAACGATGTACGATTTATTTGATTTATGCAGTTGGACACTCTTTTCCCCTTGTAGGCTCAACACCTTGTGTTAATTAAGAGAGATCTTTAATGAGGCTCGTTTTCCTTCAAAATAAAAATAAAAATAATCAATGGAGCAAACGCCAATAGGAAGGAAACTAAAATTAATTATTTGGAAAATTAAAAGAATTGGACTAAAATTGCAAAAATACACTTAAATAGCTTATTTTCTATTTTTGAAAATAGTGAAATTCTAGTTTAGCCCAACTTTTCTCTTCTTTAATCTGATCATCGCATGATCTAATTAATTTTAGTGATTAATTTTTTTTTCTTGTTTCACTTCAGCACCTAAATTTCACATTTTTACTAAAATATGCAAATTCTTCATTTATTACATTTAGTCCTTAAACCTTTATACAAAATTAAATATTCTTTAATCCTTAATATAAAAAAAATTAATTGAATTCTCATATTTTAAAATATCAAAAGAACATGTTGGAAAAGAATTTCTTGATCATCAATCATCAGAAAATTTTAGACTAGTTTTTTGGGTGTTACTTCTTTAATGACATCTAAAATATCTTTAACGATCTCCCAAATGATATATTATTTAAGATTTTACGATGCATTGCTAGGAATTGTATAAAGATTCCCCAACACATCTGCTTAACTTGTTGAAACTTTTGTTTGGCTTTAAATTCAACGTGTGTGTTTGCAAATGTTCAATTATATGGGTATGCCTCGAAACCTTTGGATTGTTGTGAATACTTGCTATTTTGAAATGTTTTTCTTTAAAATAATCATCAAACATTGTATATGGAATGTTTACTAGAGTGTTTTTCCAAGTACTATATCAATGATGATATCATGTGTATCATTTTGAAGGAAGCCTCTACGATGAGTTTAATTGAAGTAACTTATGTCTTGAATATATGATTGATTCACACTAAGGGAAGGTTTTGAGAGGTATATGAGGTGTTATATGCTCTTGTTCTAATGAATCTAATGAAAATAGAGATATTAAAGACAAATTTTGAGATAGAGAAAAGAGACAACGTCATGAAAGAAACTATGACCCAAGTAAGCAATGTGGCTTAAAAATGGGTTGATTTAGCTGGCTCTCCACAATCTTGAAGCAGATTGACATCTCGACCCCCGAGCATGAGTGGAAATTAAATTGGCTTTTGAAGGAGATAGAAAAATTTGGATTGAAAGCTGTCTGTTATATGTAAAGTTTGTTTGATATATCGAGACCTTTGTGTTCAATGAAAGTTGTTTTAAGATGGTCACTCTGGAATGACACCTTTTGTATTTGCATTTGGCATTTGCATTTTCATTACATGTATATATTTAAGCATTTTACATGCATTAATTATAAAAACACAGAGCAAATGGAAACAATGGAGCAATCTCATAAGGGATCACAAGATCAGTTGCAAGAGCAGTTAGTCGGGTCACAACAAGATAAACAGTGGAGAAGGAATTGTAAGGTGCAAGAAGGTCGAGCCGAGAGTTTTCTCATGATTTACAAATTGAAGAAAAAAGACGCAATATAGCTGTTGATAATTTGGGAAGATATCATGCCGAAAATCAGATGTTGAATCGGTCCATTGCCAATATGGAAATTTCATATCAACGCCACAAGCGGGAGAATGACGCTGAGTTAGAAGTCGTTAGAGCCAAGAACAAGAAGTTGATGAAGATTGTGTATGATTGTAGTGATCTCATACAAGAGCTTCATAACCACAATGACTTTCTTACAAGGAAGATTCAACAACAGTGTTTACAGCTCCGAGAATCGACACTCAAGATAGAGAAAAGAGACAACGTCATGAAAGAAACTATGACCCAAGCAAGCAATGTGGCTAACAAATGGGTTGATTTAGCTGGCTCTCCACAATCTTGAAGCAGATTGACATCTCGACCCCCAAGCATGTTCTATCTCCTTCAAAAGCCAATTTAATTTCCACTCATGCTCGGGGGTCGAGATGTCAATATACTTCAATTCTCTTGCAAAGCCAGCTAAATCAACCCATTTTTGAGCCACATTGCTTGCCTGAGTCATAGTTTCTTTCATGACGTTGTCTCTTTTCTCTATCTTGAGTGCCGATTCTCAGAGCTGTAGACACTGCTGTTGAATCTTCCTTGTAAGAAAGTCATTGTGGTTATGAAGCTCTTGTATGAGATCACTACAATCATACACAATCTTCATCAACTTCTTGTTCTTGGCTGTAACGACTTCTAACTCAGCGTCATTCTCCCGCTTGTGGCGTTGATATGAAATTTCCATATTGGCAATGGACCGATTCAACATCTGATTTTCGGCATGATATCTTCCCAAATTATCAACAGCTATATTGCGTCTTTTTTCTTCAATTTGTAAATCATGAGAAAACTTCTCGGCTCGACCTTCTTGCACCTTACAATTCCTTCTCCACTGGTCAGCGTCATTCTTAAGTTTAGTGACCCCTATTATCCACTCCTCTGGGACATTTCCTATACCAGCAAATTTAAAAGCTTGACTGATCCTATGAAAACTATCTCGCATGGCTTTCATCTCTCTACTCAATTTATCATTTTCACTCCTTAAATGGCGAATCAGAGTTTCATATTTTGACAAACAATTTTATTCCTGGATGTCCTCACTGATACCCTTACCTTTGGTTACTTTTGGTTCAAACTCAACAGGATAATTTGTTTTCAAACTGGGTTGTCCTTTCAATTCAAACTCCAATACTCCATGATCTAGAAGAAGTTGGACTCGACGTTTGAAAGTAGAACAATTCTCAATAGAATGTCCTTGAATCCCAGCATGATATTCACAACGAACGTTGATGTCATACCAACTTGGATATGGAGGCTGCAAAGGTTTCACATAATGTGAGGCCACTTCTCGGGCTTCTAACAGTTCATCATACAATTCCTTATATGATATTGGGATGGAATCACAACGAGAGCCACCCTCTCAACTTGGGTTGAATTGGAGTTTCCAGTTTTATTTCCCCTGATGTTGGAAGTAGACTATTAAACACCAATGAGTTCTGACTGCATGGCTTATTTTCATCCTTCTGAACTTCTATAGTGGCCACTATTTCCTTGGCATTTCCAAACAACTTGTTGATACGAACAATGATTATGCGTGATTTCTCATACTGACTAGAATAACCAGGTTCTAAAGTAGTCTCTTGCGTATCTGACACCTTGAGATTGTTTTCATTGAGTTCTTTCTTTTCTTTTGTAGAAGTCTCTTTTCCTTTGGACAAAACATCTATTCTATCCATCATCTTGGACATCTTCTCTTTTATCTCTCTTATCTCCTTGTGCTCTTTGTCAGACATATGATCTTTATGTGCGTAACTCTCCACTATTTTCGAAGTTTTCTCAGGATGCCATTTCTTGACCGTGTTATAGTTTGTTTGATCACGAAACCCCTTGTCCGTCATGAAAACCTTTTACTATGATGACCACTCACAAATCAACACCTTTTGAATATGTCATGATCATGCAATGCGGATAAAGAGAAAAACAACATAAAAAATAGGTGAGTACAAATAAGACAGCAAAAGGATAAAAAGCAACAATAGCAAAATAAATAAATTGAAGCTAATAAGAATGCAAATGTGAATGCAAATGCAAATGCACAAGGTGTTAATTCCAAAAGTGACCACCATAGAACAACCTTCATTTAGACAACAAGA